CGCGTACACGATGTCCTGTGTGACGTGCCGACAGGCCAAAACCACGTCCGGCCCACCTCCTGGACTTCTCCAGCCGTTGCCGACACTGGAGAGACCGTGGGGTGCCATCTCCATGGACTTCCTGACGGATCTGCCACTGTCCGCCATGTTCACGACTGTCCTCGTGGTGGACATGCTCACCAAGATGGCCCATTTCATCCCGTGCCACGGACTGCCATCGGCCCGCACCATGGCCCGTCTGTTCCTGCAGCACATCTTCTGCCTCCATGGCCTGCCGGACAGGGTGGTGTCGGACTGCGGGGCCCAGTTCACGGCCCGCTTCTGGAAAAGTCTGATGGCCGCGCTGGAGGTGCAGGTGTGCCTGTCGTCGTCGCACCATCCGGAGACTGACGGGGGCACGGAGAAGGTCATCGGCATCCTGGAGCAGTACCTCCGCTGTTTCGTCAACCAGCAGCAGGGCAACTGGGCCGAGTACCTTCCCCTGGCGGAGTTCGCCTTCAATAACTCCCAACACACCTCCACCCAGATGACTCCGTTCCATGCCAACGTCGGATACCATCCACGGTTTTTCCCGTTATTAATCTCGGATTCCCCTGTTCCCGAGACACACGACTTCCTCTCGGAGCTGCAGGCGGTGGAGCAACTGGTGCGGCGGCAGCTGATCCGGGCAAAAGAGGACTATAAATGGGTCGCCGACCGCTCCCGACGGGCAACGCCACCGCTGGAAGTCAGAGATCGGGTGTGGCTGTCCATGAAACACCTCCCCACGGACCGGCCGGTGAAGAAACTGGACCACCGCTTTATCGGTCCCTTCCCCGTCGAGGTGGTCATCAGCCCGGTGGCCTACTGGTTGACTCTACCACGCTCCATGCGGCTCCACCCCGTTTTCCATCAGTCCCTCCTGGTTCCTGAGGCCCCAGAGAGCCATCTCCGACGCCCGACGACGCCTGCCCCCCGTCGCAGCCGATGTGGACGACACCTCGACGTATGAGGTGGACAGCATCCGGGACTCCTGTTGGCTGAAGGGGCGCCTCCAATACCTCATCGCCTGGAAGGGGTACGGGCCCGAGGATTTTAGCTGGGTGGACGCTTCTTCCGTTCAGGCCCCTGATCTGGTACGGGACTTTCACGACCAGTTCCCGTCCCGACCACATCCCGACTGTCAGACCCGGGGGAAGGGCCCTGCGGTGGGGGATAGTGTTGTGGTTCCGTCCTGTGAGCCCATCTTATCGGAGCAAGAAGGCTCCGAACATGAAGGAGAGGAGATGACCAGGCCTCTCTCTCCAGGACCCTCCTCTCTGGCAATGCCTCAGGTGTCTCCCGACGGAGAAGAGATTGGCCAGGAGCCAGGAGTTTCCGAGCCGTCGGATAGTGACGAAGATACGTTGTGGCTGGACCCACGCCAGCGTAGGCGAGACAAGTGTGCGTGTCAACGCTGCAAATACTGTATATTCTTGCTTTGACAACATGCAGAGCTGTCTGGCATTTTTATAGTTAAACCAGGCAGAAGGGGAAGAAACCGGAAGTAAATCACATCTTCCATCAACTAACCTTCTACACTTGGTACTGGGGTTTCTTTCCACCCTCCCTTTACGAATCTTTATATACGTATCGCCTTTTCTTCGGAGTCCTAAGCATTTCCTCCATATTGTGCTGACGTATCTTTAACATTAATAAATGCTTTTAGGAGAAAATATGCCTGAAAGTCCTTTTTAGTGTTTCGTTAATCAGACATATGACAGTGCGCAGCAGAAAAGGAGGCGTGCCAGAGATTAAGCTGAGTCACTGGACCCCACCCCACAGGCTATAAAAGAGAGTGTGGTGGCCATTCGGACTCTGTGACGGACAAAGCTAAATCTCTGGCGAATCACTTTGCACCTTTGGACACAACGCCTATTTGCTGGGGATTTAATTACAAACTGGACTATTCAAACTGTTTGTATTTTTGTCTGTGTTATCGGAGTAAAAAGTTCTTGGCAGGCAGCTATGGAGTTGCTGCCAATTTCCTTATCAGTGGCGTGGAGTGTTTGAGAAGTTTATTTAACCCTCGGCTGGCTGTTTGGGTGCGTGTGTGAGACGGGGACAGAACAATTACTCGGAATTGATAACTGCCGAGCGGACAGTTAAAGGCCGTCTTCCACTCATCACCGTGCTTTATACGAACTCTGTAATAGGCCTCCCGCAGGTCCAATTTCATGAACACATGACCCGCACCCAGGTGGGCCAAGAGGTCTTTCATCAACGTGAGCGGGTATAGGTGCTCTACGCAAATCGCATTAATCCCTCGGAGGTCCACAGAGAGCCGAAGGGAACCGTCCTTTTTCTCCTTAAACAGGACTGGGGCGGCTATCCATGACCGAGCTGGTTGGATGACCCCCCGGGCCAGGTTCTGGTCGATATAATGACGTAGCTCCTCCAACTCCCTGGGTGTCATGGCATACATCCGGGGTTTGGGCAATTTGGCCCCCGGTATGATATCAATCGCGCAATCAGTGGCACGGTGGGGTGGCAGAACGTTGCACTCCTGCTCACTGAAGACCTCAGTAAGATCGCTGTACACTGCCGGGAAGGGGGCTTCCTCCCTGGGTTCCGTCAACTCTGCCTCCCTTTCCCTGCACTCCGCCCCCCTTTCCCCAGAGTCCTGGCTAGGGGCCTGGGGACCCACCCCGATATGTAGCCTCTGGTATCCCCCTTCCCACCATATCTTAGGGCCCCATTTGTCTAGCCAGGCCAAGCCCAAAATCACCGCCTCAGTCATGGACGGGACGACTATGAACCGGAGGATCTCCCAATTAGTACCCATTTCTAGCCGGCCGGGTTCCGTTATGAGAGTAGCCAGCGCCCCTCCCAACAGGGACCCGTCCACTTGCTCGAACTGGATAGGGTGAGCCAGCCGCTGCACTCTGATCCCACTCTCCGCTGCCCCCCCTTGCTCAAGCACCGGGTGCACCCGGAATCGATGAGGGCTTGGTAACCCCCTCGTTGCCCTGTCTGTGGATTAGTCAGTGTAACGGGTAGGACGAAAGGCATTATGGGCTCACTTACCATAGGATCATTGGCTACTTTGTCCTCGCTGTCGTCAGCCGCCAGACGGTATCTCGTCGCTGCTGTTGCCTCCTCCTCCTCCACCGGGAACAACCGTCGGGATGTGACCCCCTCCGACTGCTGCACTGCTCTTAACCTGTCGGGCGTTCTTTTAGCATTGGGAGTAGGCTTTCCAGGGGTCGAGGAAGGAACCTGTGGGCTCGGGGCCGGACAGTCCGCTGCTCTGTGCCCCGGCTGGTTACACCGCAAACAGTGAAAGGGCACTTTGGCGGAAGGGCCAGAGGAGTCCAGACCAGCCGGCTGGACCCTTCGCCCCACCTCCCGTGGCTTCTCCACCGACCTTCTGGGTATAGCCGGATTCTCTCCCTTCCTCCGGAACTCCTGTAGACCGGTGTCCAGGTCTATGACCACCCGGAACCACTCCTGAAGACGGCTGGGAACCCCCCGAAACACACAAGCCTGGCGCAACTCCCGGTCCAGACCCGCCCGAAAATGGTGGACAAGGAGGCGTTCTGGCCAGGAGCACAGCCACCCCACCACCCGTCGAAAGTCACAGATGTAATCGGTTGCAAGCCGGCCGTGCTGCCGCAGCGCCAGCATCTCCACCTCAGCCCGCTGGACCCGGGAGGCGTCTTCAAAATGGGAGCGCAACGCGTCCAGGAACAGCCCAGCGTCGGCCAGCTCCCGGGCATGGTCGCTATACAGATCCGCTGCCCATGCTGCTGCCTCACCCTGCAGTCCCGCCGTAACCGCCACCACCATGGCCCACTGGGACGGGTAGAGACGAGCATACCAATCCAGGTGGCTTATTACATGGCTCAAGAACATCACCAGGCGATCCGGGTGTCCATCAAATGTGACAGGTATAGGTGGTGGACCCCACACCATCCCCTGACCCCAGGGTCCCACAGGTTGGCCCGGTCCTCGTACTGCGTCGGCCATAGGCAGTGAGCCCTGGGTGCTGGAACCCACACCCTGCTGGTCGGAGCTCCTCCCAGCAGGCAACCCCCATGGATCGGGTGCCGACCTGCCTGTCCATGCAGGCTGGGACTGTGCCTGCGGTGCACCCAGACTAGACCCTCCTACCGTGGAGGCGTCTGGAGCAGGAGGACTTCACAGTCGCGGGCTAGCCAGACAGAACCGGCCCGAGTCGGGATGTCTAGCTGGTGCCTCCCTCATGAGGCGTCATCTCCTGTTGCCGTCCATCTTGGCCATGAGGAGGTGTCTTGGTACCCTACCTCCCTGAACCGGTCCCTCAAAACGTCCATTGTGTATTGTCCGGGAGCGGTGGAATAGCTTCACTCCTCCTCATCCTCTCCCGTCAGCTGTCTCTCCCTCCAGTCCATCAAAGGAGCCCTGAGCCCCGGTGTATATGCCCGTCCAGGCTCCAGATTGGCCAGTGCAGGGCTGTGCCACCATTCCCCTGATGCTGCAGGAGCCCCAGCCCCCTGGGTCTCACCTGCAGGGGCTGCAGGCCGTGGTTCCACCACCTTGGGCCTGACTACTGGCTGCGCCTCCCGGGCCTCAGGTTCAGGCCCTGTTGCTCCAGCCGGGTCGGCCTCGTCTGCCACCGGAGGAGTCTCCTGTTTACCCTCTGCCATCACCGTAGAAGTACAAAGGCGATAGGCAATAGGAGGGGAACAGGAAAATAAGGGAGTGCTGACTTACTGTCAACTGTCCTCTGCCTGCTGCCGACAAACTCCAGACACACAGGAACAAGTGACCAGCAAAACTTTAATGCAAAAGAAAAAGTCAGCACTGGGAGTGAATTGCTCCCAGTGCCTTACATAGACGTGCCCCGCCCTCCAACCCCACCCCAATCAGCAAGCCAGCATCCGGTCCGCCTCCCCCCCCGGATGCATCAGTGCAGCCTCCGCAGTTCCAGCTGTCCTATCCGGTAGCCAGGCAATGTCCTGCTCCTTCCCCCCCGCCACCGTGGCTCCACAGACAGCTCCATGCTCTTCTACAGGGATGTGGCTCCCCGCGGCAACCGGCGCCCTCCCCCGACCGCCGGCAACACAGGAGGGGCGGCGGCAATGAGAGACGACCCCCCCGACATCTCCGCCACCCAGCTGACGTCCAGGAATTGCCCCGGCGCCCAGCGAGAGGGAGAGGCGGCTGAGGTGAGAGGCGGTCCCTCCGGCGTCCGGCTGGCTTGCCTCCGACGCCCAGCCGGTGATAGGGACTTTCCCGGCATCCGTGGACACGGAGGGAGGTGGCCGCGGTGCATGGCGGCCTTGCCGACTCCCAGCTGATCTTCGGGAGCCGGGCGGCGCACGGCGGCCTTGCCGACTCCCAGCTGATTCTTGGAAGTCGGGCGGCACCCAGGGTCAGCATACGGACGTCGGCTGGCCGCTGGCTGCCCCTTCCCCGTCCCCCACCGGTTCATGTCAAGCCCAGGGGCTTGACAAATTATGTTTGTAACCACCATAAAGAAAATCAGAAGTCACATGTTTAGATATTTTTTCTTCCCTGGTTTAGACTTTTACTCTTCGTCACTTTTTCTTTGATCTTTTAAAATCTTTTTCTTTTTTCTGATTCCTTATGTAATTTTTAATCCATATTTTTTCCTTAATAAAGACTATATTTAAATAAATGATACCAGGTCCTGTTTGCTGTCTGCCAATATATTAACATTAACACAATATATGAATATATTGGGGGTACTGTGAGTATAGTAGTAAAAAGGTAAAAATGTCCTAGAAAACCACTTGGGTGGGAGCTTATGAATGTAATTTTTTTGAACATTTTTCATTTTGCCTTTCTACATAATACTCCTTCCCCTTATTTTTTCTATAACAACAATCCTGTGAGGTGGGTTGGGCTGAGAGAGTGATTGGCTCAAAGTCACACAGGCAGTTTTCATGCCTAAGGAAGATCTAGAACTCAATCTCCTCTAGGCCAACACTAAGCACTCTAGACCAGGGCTTTTCAACCTTTTCACCGATTGTACCACTTTTAGAATATGGCAACATTCGAGTACCACCAGTCACCTAGCGAGGTGTCAAAAACTTGACCAAAAAAAAAATGGAAAAAAGTGATAAAGTACAGGTAGTCCTTGACTTACAACAGTTTGCTTAGTGACTGTTCAAAGTTACAACGGCACTGAAAAAAGTGACTTATGACCATTTTTCACACTTATGACCGTTGCAGCATCCCCAGGGTCATGTGATTTATATTTCGATGCTTGGCAACTGATTCATATTTATGAT